GAGATATAAATAATCTTGTTTTAGAACAGTATTCCATAACGTTACTGGAAGTGATCACAATTCTACACCACATCCAAGTACAACAGATGAGGTGGTTTGGACATCTAGTGAGACAGACCTCAACAACACCATAACAAAGATCAAACAGCCTTGAAAGCAACAGAAAGAAAGAAAAGGGGAGACCATGAAGAAGGTAGATTAATGACATGAAATACATAGCAACATCAACAGGTCAATCACACTACTGAGCCATCCACATGGATAGGAGAAGAAAATGACTCCTTAATACTTGATTGAAAAAACAAAACAATAATAAAATCTGCACATTAGGGAATTCTAAATTCATTGGATACTCAAGTATACTTTTTAATTTTTAAAATAAATTTCTGTAAATGTTAAGTGATACTTTTCATATTCGAAAAAAGAATGAAAATTTTGATAGTTACCAGAATTTTTTTTCCTTTTTCTAATTTGAAATTTTCTGAAATTACAATAGTTATTCTACTTAAAAATGATGACTAACAGAAGTCTAACATATGTAATTTTGTTTATTAATTCAATGTTTTGGCACATGCTTTTTTTTTTCAAGGGTTTTAATGGATTCCAGTAGTCACTCTTGAGGGCCTTGCTTATATTTTATCTGTTGATTAAATTCCATGATTCAGTCTCTAAAACCCATTAAGTCTGCTTAGTCTATTAACATTAAGAAGACATCCAGATAATAAGATTTCACCAGACTAGCCCTGCACCAGCAACTTTTCAGCTAATTGGATAAATGAACAAAATATTCAACAGACTTGACACCTAGAATTTGATGCTGAACTATTTTCTGTTGTGTACGCTATTTTCATTGCTGCCTTTATCTCATACCAACTTTAATTCCAATTTTCTGCTTCTGTTTTATCCATTAGCAACCAGAAATAACACAGTTACCTGAAATGGATTTTTTAAATATTTTATGCATTGATGAATAAATCAATAATCTACAAGCCTAAAACAGCAACCATGACAGATGCACTGCAGACACTTTCACATTATACATTTATATATTATTAATGAAGAAAGTTTGTATAAAAAAAACCAATGCTGTACAAGCAGGCAATACTTGTAGAGCCAAAACTATTGCCTGGAGCTTAAATTGCCAATTTTTAATTAAAGTATATCTGAAACTGGAAAAGTATTATCATATGTTTTTAAGTGTTAATGAATATACAAACATATATAATGTGGGGGAATACTTGCATTTGAAATTAAAATATTATATCATTCCATTATACTGTTTCAGAAAAGTAATAAATCTTTTGTTTATGAATAAATGAAATATTATTATAGAGTTAAAGTAAACAGAGTTAAAAGAAAATGCATACACATACATTGAATTTCAGGTATCTAAGGTTTTAATATTAAATTTTTACAGCAGTGATGTATGGCTATCAACAAAAGTTATTATTCAAACTGTAACAAGTACTGTATTTAGCTCCCTATTTGTAATAATTTCATGCCATACATTAATAAGAGCTTTTGATCAAAGTAAGAATTGAAAAAGTAGTTTGAAAATTAATTAATGAAGCCATTTTTATAACTAACTTAAAATAAATAGTTAAAGTATCAATATCCAAAAATCTAAAGCTCATAATTATTGGAATGCAATGAATCATTAGTTAGGTATTCTTGCTCTTAAAGATATTTCCATTTGATATACAAATATAAAAAAATAGGGGGTGGGGTGAAACTTTAAGTTTTATTTAATCTAACTAGGAATAAAAAAACATTCAAATGTTGTATGTCATCTTTTTGGATTATAAGGTTTATTATTGTACTTAGATTTCCTGCACATGAATCCATTGCTACAGTTATCAGTAAAATATGTAGTAATAAGGTAGAATAATATTTCTAAAAATTGAAAGATTGCATTTGAAATTTTATAAAAAGTAGTAACATCAAAAGTTTTTGAACAAATAGTTTTGGGTATCTTACAAATATTAAAAGGGAGTGAATTTAAGGGAGTATCTGATTGGTTATAAAGTTGGTAAATTAAATTCATAACATACTTTTTTATATTTTTGTCATGAAAATATTGAAAGTCTTGTTAGAGGTCATCAGAAAATTAGTTTTGTTAAAAACAAAACCTGCAATCAACCAAAACAGTGTAGTATTCATGCCACAGATTCAAATATAATAAATTGTGAAATTAAAATACTCCTACTCAAGTTTTGAAGGAAAAGAGAGAAATTCTAATATTTGAAAACTGAAGTTACATCTTTTGTCACAGATTTTAGAGAAACATTTGTTATCTAGGATATAAATTTCCATACTAAAATATTGTGGGTTTTACAAATGAGATTTTATGGTGTCTTCAACCTCTAAACAATAAGATATATCTGTAACACTACTGATATTACTGTGTGGGAAAATGATGACCAATAACATAACTCAAGGTAAGATCATAATTGAAATTTCGTTGAATGGAGGGTAACTGGAGAAGAAAGGCGGAAGACTTTCAAAATGCCGTCCTCTACACTTGTGTTTCTACAACAGGCAGTTGCCATCCATTCAACTAAATTTCATCATGAATACTCTACCTAAACAATTTATCAAAGAAGATCATAATTCTGAGAAGGATTACTGCTAAAATTGATTAATTGAAATATGTAGGATCACATGAAAGGATCTGCCAAATGAGAGTTACAATTTTCTCATAAAAGGATGCTATTAATTTGTTTGAAAATATTATATAGAATTAAATGCAAAACTATAAAAGATTAAGGATATGTTCCTTTAAAACAAAAACAGATTTATATTTGCATAAACGATATTTTAGATTTATATCAAAGATATCTGTAATGCGACCAATGAGACTTTCATGAGACAAGGATTAGTACAGATTATTGAAATTATATGAATGAAAATACTGGTTCTTTAATGGAGGACCAAATCCACTTAAGATAGCTAAAGTTGTTGCATTTTTACACTGTTTGTTACAATGTAGTTTATTTTGAAACTTATGCTTTATTCTTTGTTTAAAATGTTATGTACGAGTAAAAACACATCTTTGTTAATTGATTTAACTGAGCTAATTACAAATCTAATTTTAACACAATTTTTGTAAAATCTAGGTATAAAAATTATATATATAGTGGTTTGTCTTGAAGTTGTACAATCAGATGTTAACCTTTTCACTGTAGCTGGGATATATATTTCCCAGGGTTAAGAAAGCTACCTTGATAGAAATCTAAACAAAGCTTCTATGGCTCACTCTAGTCCTCTGAGGTTGATGCTCTACCAACTGAGTTATGAGGACTCAAACCTTTGGCAGATAACATCCACCATGACCATCACACTACCTCCAAGCCTGAAACTATCTGGCCACTTTAAGTTCATCTCCTACAACACAAGTGTCTTTTGGATAACAGTTTGATTGGTTTTCCACCAAATGTTGTAAAAAACAAACTAACTCTACATCTCTTAGCCTAGCTATTACTAGAAGTGGTACATTTCTGTCGGCTTCACAAAGATGGTTGGACAGAGTGTGTGTGTATCGTTTGCTATGAAGTTTTACTGAATACGGGCAATAAGCAAAGGCACAAGTGTTACCAATAGCATTAAATATCACTTTCATCTAGTGTTAGCTTCATGTAATAAAACTGAAATGATTGTCAAACTCAAACCATTCATCAAATTGCTTATTGATTTAAATGCATTCTTTGAGAGGGGGGGGCTTTTGAATATCATATACCAAAATATTGTTGAAACTGGTTCACCCAGTTCCTCTTAATTTGTGACACTAGACAGATGGATAATCTTTATATATCTACAGCTATATATAGATATGAAAATCTTGTTCTGACAGCACAATCATGTACAGATTCTACTGTGGTAACAAAAACATAATGAAAATCACACTCTAGATCATTTCTTTTAAGATTTTGATGGGAGGAGTGGTGTGCTTTAGACATAACAGCCTTATGATGGAGCCTTTTGTGATGGAAACTAACACTGCAGGGTTATTGTCAGGATTCATTGTTGTCAGATTAGACGTGCTGACATGGACTGTAATGGTGGGGGAAAACATGGTTCATCTGCCTGTCACTAGGATATATCGAAAAGTATCATCAGGAGAACTGCAGTTGTGAACCACTGATGCCAGACTGGAGGAAAATATGAAGAGGCTTGTCAAGTACAAAAGAAGTCAAAGTTTGCCCCATATTCCTTCAATAGTGGTTCAACCATACCATGGAAAGGACATTACACGATTTGCCACATGGCAGCCAAACAGTAAAGCACAACTTCAGTGGTGCTTAGAGTGTGGACATTGAAAGACTGGAAAGTCATGATGTGGTCTAATGAGCCCTATTTCACTGTTGCCAATATGTTTGTACTAGTAAAAAGAGTGAAAATCACATCCTGCACTGAACTCTGATTGTGTTGTTCTGAGTAGCATAAGGTGGACGGCCTACATAAAACGTTAAACGAATATACTGCAATAGATCATGCCGCTTTTTCACTACTATTATTATTATTATGAGACGCTCCCCACCAGCTATCTTATTTGGTTAGATAAAACGTAAAGTTATATGAAGAAATACTGGTTTTGTATCACGGAAATGTTGAAACACCCCTTCAATAATCTATACGTGAGCATCACGTTCATTTCAATACAGCTAACTGTAGTGATAGTAAAGTTAGATGGTGCTGTGGTCCTTTCTTCAGGCAAGCGTCTTTTGGCTTACAGTTCGACTGATTTTCCACCAAATGTCATAAAAATAAACAAACTCTACATCTCCTAGCTTAGCTATTACTAGAAGTTGTATATTTCTGTACGATGGGAGAGGTTGTAAAAAGACGCTCCTAAACTCAGTCAATTTTAAGCCCATATCAACAAGAAACGTTTATAAATTGAATATAACTATCTTATATAAATCTTACAAAATACCAGATCTGTAGCTTTGTAAAAATAGAAATTAGCTAGTTTTATTTTGAATACTAAAAATGGGTATTACCATCTTTTTTCCTATTTTTGGTCAAAGTCACCTTCAGGGTATGAGGCTCCCCAGGGTTTGGTGGTAAAACTATCCGTCGGCGAATGGCCTGAAAAAATAAAATGAACCATCTAATAAATGACTCTTAAAGAGATATTTTAATCAGAACGTTAGAATAATGGAAACCGGGCTTAATAACAAATCTCAATGTAAACAAGTGGCCCTAGTTACTATGTAGGAAACCTTAAAGTGGGATAAACACAATATTAGAATAGTGGTTAGTATCTTGAAGGAATAGGCTAAAATAAGCATATTATTTAGAGCGGTGATAATATACTTAAGTGATCATTTTACACACAAACGTTAGGTTGAAATTATGGTTTACTATAACAGAGATTAAAGATACATGGTTAAAACAGTAGATTCTATGATGTGTATGAGAACAATAACATTGAATTTTACAATACACGGGCTTAGAATAATAGAAAATACTAGCGTTGATGAAAACAAGCTCGTACGAACAAAACAATTCATAAAGGTTATCTTAGTTACACATGACCACACGTTCTGAACACTGGTCATTCAACAAGATCAAAAACGTTTCATAAAGGTCATCCTAATTGTGAAACCTGCTCTAACGATCAATAATTCTAATAATGAAAAAACAAAAGTGAAATATTAACTTTGTTATACTTAGAAAAAAGAAACCACGTATACATATATATACATTTCCAAGTTTCCAACACGCCAATAATGACGTAAATTTTTATCAAAATTTTAAAACAATCCACATAAAGTAATATTTAATAACGTAAGCAGAAACGTGTTAAGTTGGCATAACATACTGAATATCTCCTCTATTAGCAATTTCTTCTTCACCAATAAAATGTTATTGTCAGTTTTTACGCGCTTATCATCTGTATTAACTAATATTGGCAAAAAACGTGAACACTTTTTACTCCTGTAAAAGCACGGAAACAAATTAGAATCAATGAACTGGTGGTAAAGTAAGGAAAAACTGGATTCAAGAAATCTACTAATGATACAAAAACTTTAATATATGCAGCAAAGTAAAAGAATAAATTTTGAATTAATTAAAAACAAATATAATATAATATATATATATATATAAGTAATTTTATGAGAATATCGTGATTATTATTATTATTTATATTGTTGCGTCATCGAGATCACGTGACAATTCTCACGCTCTCTTGTTTCT